GTGGGGGGGGGGGGGAGATGACCAACACGTAAAAGCAATACTCACTCTAACTTTAGTCTCGCTGTACAACTGCGGCAGAACAGAGTCTAGCAGGTCACGAACAAGAGATGGTTTATTGTGCGCCGCCGAGTTGAAAGCAACAAGAGCCACTCGGCGCACATTCAGGTCTGGATCCTGCAGAGTTCTCAGAAATGCGCCAATACTTTGTCGCAGAAGCGGATCGATAGCTTGAGGCTAAAACAAAATAAAAAAATAATCGTACCAAAAGTTTCATTTTACTGAAACCAAACGCACGGCTAATTAATAAACAAGACCAACTCAAACAAATCTTTACGTTACTTAAAGAGTTTTCTTGTACTCGAGTAAAAGTATTCAATACAAGCGCTTACACTTACTACGTAGCGAGTTACACAGCGCAGTACCTGATCGGAAATTGTGAATTTCACCGCCGTGACTACCGTCGTTCTCATGAGGGCTGAATCAGACACTAGCGATTCCTGTAATCTTGGCAGTAGACTCGAAGGGTCGATGAGGGTCAGCTTCCCCAGACATTCTGCTACGACATTTCGAGTCCCTTCCTCGCCGCACTCGCAGTGTCGGAACAACTGCTGCCAAATGGCGGGCACAAAAGGCTGGAGCAACTGTACACCACCAGGAGTTAACGACTGGCATGTAATTATCTGCAAAATAACACCGACACCTTCTTAAAGTAAAAGTTGTTTCATTAAAAATGAGTCCCAAATTTGTAATCACCCATAACGTTACATATCATTTGTATCTCTAATTAAATTATATTATATCTCAAAATATTTAATTTGCTGTTACTTTTTGAAACGCCCTCACACATAGGAACAGACTCACTGCTGACAACCTCACACAACTAAAACCTAGTTTTTATTTACTTACCTCTTTCAGAGAGTGCAAAAGCAGGTACTGGCGTTTGGGTTGAGCTTCGATCTCTTGCAATACGAAAGGGAGGTATTGGGGCAAGTTGCCAACCGCAACGCTACCTAGAGTGTATGATGCTGCGGACTTAACCTCCTCTGACAGAGGTGAAAATGAATTAAGAATCACCTGCTTCAGGCTAGTGATACTGCTCAGGTCACTGGAATAATAAAGCGCACTATTAGACCTTTCGAATTTATACCGACACCGACACGGTTTTGACCCACGGTGGTAACACTCATCGAAACCAAGCAAGAACGGTATCAAATAACTTACATATGCCTTCCTATCTCTCCAATAATAAGAAGGGCAAAAATGTGCTGCGCATCGCTGCGAGGGGTCTGCACATCTCTGAGGAACTGTTCCACGACGGAGAGAGCCTCCTGCTTCGAAGTCACTGTCAGTGCTGCCACACATTTTGCCAAAGAGTGGAATGCCTGTAGGCACGATAAACTCGGATCTTACAAAAAATAATGGAAAAGATCTTTTCTGGTCGGCTCTCAAACATTTTCCCCACAAATGCACACGCAAAATGGCTGTCAATTCTATTAGAGAGAATATAATGTCAATACTACGATGCCAGGATGAGATTTTGACCCGCGACGCGTCAGCAAAGGAGCAGTGTCCTTCTTAAGAACCTAAGTCATTCAGCTAGTACAAAAAATTACCCACATTTCACTGAACACAAAAGTTCATTATCACGTTCACCTCAACGCCCCCACTCTTGGACACACTCAATCTACGTTCCTCCCTTTAATATAAGAGACCAAGTATATACCAACAGAACAAAAAGAAACAATTATAGTACATTTTAATCTTCACGTTTTCACATAGCAGACGGGCAGATTAAACATTCTGAAGAAGCAACAATTCCCCCAAGATTAATGTTTTTATTTTATTTTTTTTTACTGATTTTCATTTTGACTTGTTATTATCATTCCCAGACGTATAAATTTTGTGAAGAGTTTTACGTTCTCCACAGAAAAGAAAGCGATGCACACCTGTTTATGGAGGACGGGAACTGGGCCTCCAGTCCCACCAGAACTTCCATGAGTGATTGGAGCCACCAACTTCGCCAAAAGATCCCTATATCCCAGTCCAGGAAGCCCAGCTTTCACCAGGGCTTGGAAAAACTCGAGCATAGAATTTAATGCAGCACCTAAAAGCAGAGTTCTCTAAGTCAGCAAGCACTTTACAAAATACGCTACCCCTTAATCATTCTTCATGGGGAGATTTACATCCTAAGGTTATCGCAGCAGTTTCCGCTATCTAAAACGCACCTTGTAACAACGGCGATTTGACTAGGATAAGAATCTCTGGTAAGATTGCATCAGAAACGCGGGCTAGAGCCGCGGGGTGCAACTGGGCTATCGACGTCAGTAATGTCAGAGTCAGCTGCGCTATGTGCAGGTCAGCTTCACTAAGCAGTGGTGCCAATTCAATTATAACCTGAAATACGAAGCGTACACATCAGACGAGAATTATATATGGTACTGGCCTAATTATGATAAATAATCAGGCTACAAAATTCATATGCATCTTATAATCACCCTTCATTAAAGTATTACGACACATTCCTTTTTCTTTCCCATTAATATTAATATTCTGCTCTTAAATTTTTATTTTCCTTTTCTGCCCGTGCCCTTCGTAACTTTTTGTATTTTACTGTGTGTGAGAACAATTGACGACAACTTTACCAGATATGACACGCACGGTGAGAAACAAATAAAATAAGATTTTATAATATAAAATAATCAGTCGTACTTGACTGTAAACATAGATCGTCAAAACAAAACACGGCAGAAATGGAAAATATAAACTGTACCCGATTTCTCACCATTAAATCAATTAACACAAAAAACACATGATATTAAAATTTACAAATACTTGTGAGTCCTAATTACGTTAAATAATTTAAAAATCGCATCCTAGTATTAATTAATATTACCTCACAAGGTTACAATTTTTAGTAACCATACAAAAAAAAAATACGCTAGAAGCTGGAAACTTACCTTATTGAGTAATTCTGTATTCACGGCGCTACTATAGTTGCGTACAAGCGTGTCCAACAAGGTAAGTGTGCTCAACTTTAGCGCACGTTGATTTTTTCGAAGGAACGAACCTAGTATTGGCACCGCTTCACCCTGCAAGCGATGCGATACACGATTAACGTCTCTCCGTCATCACTACAGTATTCATACAGTTCCACCAACTTCCTTCATATAAATTTAGTGAAAATGGCACAGGTATACCACGACAGACAAAACCGTCTTAAATCAACAACTTAACAGTACTTAATCCTAAATAAGTAACCGACTGATGAGATCTCGATCGTACTTGCCTAAAACATAATTTTATCCATCACAGATTTAATAATGACACTGAACCCAAATTTGCTGGACAGGAAACTGTCTTTAGGGTACACAACTGATTGAAATACCGCGGCAAAACAATTTGAAATTAAATATAACACACCAATGACATGAATGTAACCTGCAACGACATAATTCCTGAAAAAAAAATACTTACTAGAATTGGTCGCAGATCAATACGCAACGGTGAGCCAGCTACTTTTGTCAATGCCTTAACTGTTGTAAGCCTAGTAATCTCATTGCGAAGGCGGTCCAGAAAGATAGGCAGACAAATATGAAGTTCGCCCTAAAAATGAAATAAAGTAACTTATTGTGAAAACTAAAATTATTTTCAACCCCTTACGTCAGAGTCCCCAAACACAGAAGAGAAGCCCGTATCGTCAATTGCACCAGGAATAAAGGCTTTATGGCGAATTACCTGTAGGTAATCACCCAGGTTGCAGATGATCTGACCCATGCAAGATATTGCCCGCTCCTTGACTTCTTGGTCTATGTCTGCCGCCTTCAGGCGAATTAACGTGCAGCGATACAGTTCACCGGTAAACGGAGTGAAGTCAAAATTACTTGGAGTATCTAAACATAGCAAGTAATATTATTTTAAACTTCAAGACAGCGTACAAAGAACAGACAAGAATGAAATTCATTCATAAGACGAAACAAACATTTCAAATAACGACCACAAACCCGTTTATGACGTAAGTGTTGTCGGCATTGGCACTTACTGAATCTAGTGCGCGTGTTCAAAGTCGCCGCCGTTAGCTCGTGGCACAGCCGAAAGCGACTGACAAGCAGTCACCAAAGTTACCACTGAGTATACATCTTTTTGAGACACACTGTATTTTATTTTATTTTTGAGGATTATATAATATTACGTTACTCCATTTCTACCTGACACTGGACAGTAACTTACCTAGAGGTCGTATGACCTTAACAAGCTGCTGCAGAACAAGCAGTGCCTCAGCGGTGATCTTGTAAAAGCCGTCTCCGACTGCCGTGATGACAGGAGGCACCAACACCGCCATGTGGCTATGAAACACTTCGGGTGAATGCGACGTCAGCAAACAGTATACAAAAGCCAAGGTGTCGATCTTCATGTTGCTGCTAGAATTTTTGTCGCTGAAAGGTAAAACATTTCTCGAACGTGAATATACGAATAATAGCCGATTTCTAATCGATATCCCTACACAAATAAATGGACTCACCCCAGAGAGTATTGGATGCCTGGTATGAGGGCTGGGATATGGTTGGTGAGAGCTCCAGGCAGAACAATGACGAGCTCCTTGAGGAGGGTGAAGCAGTCTTGCCGAGTCTTTATACTCTTTTCCTTCATCTGGTTGTGAACGGACTTCACTATGGCTGGGACCTGCGTCTGTAGCATACACACTGGTCCCTCTTCCTGGTCCATACAGTCCGGATCAAGACTCACGCCGACGGAGGGCCTCGTCTGTCTCAGGAGGGCCATGTACGCGTGGAAAATGTCCGACTTCACATTTTCTTCTCGTTCTGGCAAGTATAAAATAATCTCACGTGCGAAATCTCAAAGACGTAAGTTTTTACGAAAACATACTCATCTCCGCGTATCGAAACTACGAAAATCAAAACCAAGAGCTGAGCTACATCAAGAAACGCACGTAAAAACTTATGTTAAATCTAACGTTCCGAAGGTTTTATACCACTTACCAGTTTCTTAAACCCATACCTTTAAACCTCGCAATAAGAGCTGGTGACACTGTCCGGTAGAAGTCGCAGAGTAGCTCGTGTCGAGTTGCTATAACCGCTTCCAAACATTTTGCGGCAGACCTTCGAACTTTCCAGCTCATGTCATCATCATCTGAATATTCATCGTTATCATCATCATCAGCCTCTTCTTCCGTCTCCATTACAACTCCATCTTCGCCGTCGCCATCGTCATCATCATAGTTATAGTTCGGGTCGTAAGTAATGTACGTTAAGCACAGTTCTATAATCTGAAAATGAAACATGTCGTCCGTAAATCTGAAGGTTCCTACTGGCAGGGCATGAAGCGAAGTACTACGCTTATAAAATTTCTCAAAATATGAAACAGTGTACGACACGTCAAAATAGTAACGCACAGATAACAAACGACAACGCATTTAAAAAAATATTTATTTTTTGAACAGAACAGACTGCAAGACTGATAACGTACAGTATGAATGTGCGGAGTAATTTCCTTTGGGCAACGATGTACAAACGCTTCAAAAGCCTGAAGACAATACTCTCTGAGCTCATCGTCTTCCTCTCGGCTGTACCGCACTATCAGGGGCATCACTCGCTCGATGTGCTCGCCGAATCGATGGCCTGCTTGTCGACTGCAGAATACGACAAAAACATTTAAACGACGAGCTCGATAATTAATATAAACACCAACAACAGCAGAACAACTTAAAAAAATACAGCCTTAATAAAATTGTTTCTTCCAGACATTTCACTTACCAAATGGCCGCAATACACTGGATGTATGTCCGAGTGGTGGAAGCGGAAGTGTCGCGAGAAAGTCCATCCAAAAGGTAATCAATCAATTTAGTGTACAACTGATGGTTACATGACATAACCAGGTGGCTCAGAGCGACAATAGTCCTGAGAAAAAAACATTTTACAAAGTAAAAACTGTAGTCTTCATGAAGCGAATATATCCTGAAGATGGAAGCAGTGAACCTAAGATAGTACATATGATGTTAAATTTAATTAATTAATAATTTATTGCAAATATTATCCCTTTCATACAAAATGAAGCCCTCAAAATGCTTTACGGTGATCCTTCGGTTTTACCTGCACCATTAAGGGGGCGTATGGGTCAATTTACCCCACTTAATGGTACCTGCACCTTGTCGTGGTGGTGTGGCTTGAGTACCTCTGTGACCCCAAGAGCTACTGGTAGGGCCTCCGTAGCCAGATTGGTCGAGGGGGAGAGGTCAGACTAAGACAGGTACCCTGGTCCTCCAGGTTGGGGGTTGTTTGCAAGGCCAACAACCTTGCACCGTAAAAAGTAAGATGTTTCGAAACCTCGATCAAAGCCTCGGACAGACGGACCTAACAGAGGACCGAATGGAAGAGGAGAATTGAGGAGGCCATGGACCGAATACGGACCGGGGAGCCATAGAAGAAGAAAAATATGGGTCAATTTAATGACTGCCAAGTTGGAAAGAGATTAAGTTTTGAACACGACATGATACTAGCACGAATTAGAACATCGGTACTTTGTACGTCACTTATACAAAGTACATGTGTAGCAAATAAATTTTAAATAAAAATAATTAATATAGATCCAGAACGCTAGTGGAACATGGGTAAGAATCTTACGTAATACTGCATTAGCGCCATGTCTTACGCTAATTAATGCTTCTCTTTGGTCAGATATGAAACTACTTTGCTACAACCCTTCCCTATAGCTACTAGTGTTTCAATTTTTCCCCACTCTTCTTATCTTCCGACATTTACCCACCCCTCTCACGCAGACCAATGACCATCATAATGTACCAGAACCAATTTGACAAAAATTAGACACCATTTCTAAAAAAAACAAAAATATTGTATGACCACGTGAAAACAGAAATACTAAGCTGTTTATCTATTGGAATATTTTACAACATTAATACGATGTTTCATTCTGCGAAGAGGATTTTTAAAATCATTACGGCACATCGCGAAGGCACAGAAACGTAAAACATGACTATGTGTGCGTCTTTAATTAAAACCGGTTCGGCCGCAGAACATCATAATTCCCATGATTCAAGGGATTCAGTTTACTGCATCTGTATGTACCTCTTTCTGACGGCCTGGCGTGGCGAGGACAGCTGCGGTAATAAAGCTGCCAGGATGGTTGTGTGAAAATTAATAAGTAGACCTCCAAACCTAGATAACAAGTCCGCCAGGATATCCAATGCTTCTAGTTGCACTGACACATCTTCTTGCTATAAGACAAATGATCAGGCCTGCGTTAACATCCTTCTTAAGCAATTATTAAAAATTCTTATTAATCTATTTACCTCAGTCACTTGTCTTCTTTCTGTGTGTCTTTTGTACTAAGTGCGTTCAATTTTAATGCATTTTTATTTATTTAGTGTTCTGTCTGACGACAGGTCCATATGAACAGGATCATTCCATCCTTTTCTCGGACTGGGACCTGTTCATATACGTTCTTGGCAGATGATCCAGAAGTGGTTTGCCATTGCCTTCTTCTGTGTGTGAATGGAGTAATTGTTGGGATGCCACGGAGGAAAACTCCGTGTTGCCTAGACCACGGCCTTGCCCAACACAAGTTATAAATTCGGGCACCGCCGGGAATCGAACCCGATACCCCAGGATTACAAGGCCAGCGTTCTACCCGCTAGACCTTTACTTTGCATAAAATGTATGAAGTGAACACATGCAAGGGATATCTGCCGAGGGTCATGGCCCCAGGAATGCAAATCGAATCAAAATGAAACTAAACCCAGTATACTTTTTGGTAGCGACGATTCCTCGACACCGGACGTAATGAAAATATCGCTACAACTCAGCAAATGGCCGCTAAAATAAAAATGTCACCTTCTCAATAGCATTGCTCAGTCGCCCAGTGATGCGCTTACAAACATTTGCAGCAAGAGCACTTGAAGCGAGTGGAAGTTCGCTGATCACCGTCTTGAGACCAATACTTGATATGTCACGCAACTGCTCCTTATCGGACACCATGTTGCTACACAGTGAATCCACAATTGTTTCTACTTGGAATTCCTTTACCTTGTTAACCAATGGGCCAAGACTGCAAAAAATACAAGCCAATAATACAGACGGTATTATTTAACTCGTAATAATCAATACATGAAATGAAGTGTGGGTACTTGTGGGTTATCGGGATACATCACTTTAAAAATAGGTTAGGTTAGGGTTGACAGACATAAAATTATATCTTCTGCTGACACCAGAAAATGAAGTTTTGATTGACTTCGAAAACAAAAAAGGCAGATATAAAAATGTAAAAGTTGTCCTTGACCTGTTACCAGTCAGTAAGTTATACAGACACATCTTCTGTTATAAAACTTGGCTAATATGTCATATTGACATCTCCACATCAATCAGCCTAGAAGATAAAGTATGGCTTATGAAACAAACCAAACAAGCAGAGTAAATAATAATACATATTAATTATAAACCTACAAAATAATTTTGGTAATATTTTTCATAGTATGTATTGAAACTATGAACATAAAACTTGCTCTGCTCTGTGTGATACATGCAATATTTTGTGATTACATGTTTGTGTCTTTCATGTAATCACACGTCAGTCTAGTAATCAAAATCTTTGATGAACATTTTTGGCAAATATACTGGCCATAATAGTCCAATTCCATGTTAACCATAGTCATCAGTCATACCTTATGTAGACTTCATTACAGGGCCTCGCAAAGAATGGTATTCATGTGCTGGTTACACCCAACATCACAAGATCTGGATTGACGAGCCAAAGCAAGTTGATGAAGGCATGTTTAGCAAGACTGGATGTAACCGGAATACCAATCTAACACTGTCATGTTATAACAGAAGCACACACAGAGCATTTACAAAAATCAATATTTGAGAAGTACTCTGTCATCTAACACATGTTTTACATTCCTGTCTTAATAAGCAGGACCAGTAAATCGGGCAAGTTGTTGTTGTTGTTATTACAAAACTGATCTATTGTAGCACAAACAACTCACCATTTCACAGCTAAATTCTGAACTTCTCCATTTTTGTCCTCCAATAATCGCAACAGCATCTTAACAACTTTGCGTTCTGAATCATCATCCAATTTAATGCTGTCCTTCTGAAGTTCTGTCATCAAATCATTGGTTGCCATAAACCTAAAATCCTTATCACTTGAGGTCATCTATTGAACAAAATCAAATGCAAGTATACGAATTTAGAAATATGTAAATAAATTAAAGAAAATTTCGGAACACATATACACTTGACTTCAAAATTTGAGAATTCATTATCATATTATTAATTTCGATACGTCATAATTACTTTAAATGTACTTCATTTCAAATGACACGTTGCCATTAGACATTGATAATCAAGTACTGTGAAACGCTTTTGTTGTCATTATTTTCACCAAGGTCTGAGAAACATTCAACTTACCTTCTCTAGTAAATTTGCTATTTGATAAGATACACTCGCCATCTTGATATATAATAACCAGTAATGGTAATGAAATGAAACTTAGGTGTTCACAGTTCTGTGGGAACAATTCTTTATGCCTACGTTTATTAAAAATTTACAACATTAACCGGTACTTCTTTATACAACCATTGAACAAAATATGGTGATATTAAGCACCGCTAGAGGACAGCATATCTGATTTTAAACTCCTTTGACATGCGCACATACAAAAACTTGACAGTGGAACCACGGTTCCGGAGAATCTGAAGCAAATACGTCTCTGTAATGTAATGAATGTAATAATTTTTATATAAGACAAGTACTTGTGATATTCTAAAACGTTTTTACCAGTACAAAATTATCTAGTCTACGACGCACAGCAAAGCTCTTTCCGCAATAACGAAAGCGGATTGTTGACGGCAGTAATGTAACACGACAATGCCGAGTAAACAGATGACACAACATTTAGTTTCTTAGGTGACATAACAATGGACGCAGAAGTTCATATAAAAGCTGACCATTGTTGTCGGTCCGTATTTACGCATTGTTGACATGGATCTTACATATGTTCGTTACGCTTTTTTGCCGAATGACCCTTCCGTATAGGCGTATTTACGTCAAAAGAACATCATATGCACAAAGTATTCAGCATAGCCACATCCTTCAACAAATACTTCCCTTAAAATCACTGAAAATTATACTTCTCCTCTTGCGAATTTGTATACTTCCTTCAGGACACCCGTTATGGGGCCTCCTAACGGCATAACATAACTGTGGCATATTTATAATCCATAAAAGTCATAAGAAACTTGACATAAAATACGGGTATCATTTAAAAAAATCAACGAACAAAAATACCCACTTCGACAAGATCCGTGACACCCGGCAACCGGGAAAATCGAATTTAAAAATAATTTAAATTTGATGTAGAGTAGAGTAAAACCTCACATTTCTTTTCATATAGGCATAAGGCGACTTATTCTACCTAGAAAAGCTTGGTACATACATACATCTTTATTACATTCCATGGATCCATAAGTTAGTCAGATGACAATAGGATGTAGAATAAGTCATATTAATACAATACATGTTATACAAATACAAGTCATACTATTATATAAATGTCACAAAAATACAAACAAAGGGCTCACATGAAGTAGAGATAAGTTACAAATAAATCCACCCATTATATACAATAGATAAATTACGACTTACTTGTAAACATCAGAAATTCATCGACAGAGTAAAAGGAGTGTGTAATTAAGTATCTTTTCAATGCTTGTTTAAATTGTGCCTTTTTATTTACAAGACTTGTGAGATTTGATGGTAGACTGTTGACAATTTTGATCCCTGCATAATATGCACTCTTCTGAAAACATGAGAGGTTGGCAATTGGTCTATGAAGCTGATTTTTATTCCTTGTGTTGACACGGTGTATAGCAGAATTAGTTTGAAAATGTTCTTGGTTATTTACAATAAAGTTCATTAACGAGAATATGTATTCACATGGAAGAGCTAAGATTTCTAATCTCTTAAACAGACTTCTACACGTTCTAAGGTTAGAATTGGAGGAAGAATAAATAGTCCTATGTTGCCTAGCAACCAGACACTCTAGAAAATGGTGGTCTGCCTTTATATGAAATAAATATTCATGTGATGGCCCACAGTCAAACTTCACAATGAAGATGTAACCTGCAATGGAGTAGTGAATAATTTGTCATACATTAAGATTCTATATGGAATAATAACGTAACATAATGAAGTTACTTTAATGAATGATTTTTATAGAAAGGGTGTTTGTATTGAAAACTCCAACTATGAGACTTAAAAGATTTTTACTACGATACTTTCCTCCAGGTAAGAATTGTATAGTTGCATCCCATTAATAATGCAAATTAAATGCATAGGGTAACCATTATGCATGATAAAATAAATACTGATGACAAACACAGGATGTAACTTCAAGCTTTCATTCATTTTTCTCATGTTTCAGTTTTTAAGAAAATGACTTCCTTTTTATTACAGGGATTGCCTTGGAATACATCCAAGGGGGAAAAACAAAAACAAAGATGTTAGGTCTTTCAAGCCTTTCAACGAGGTAAGAATTATGGTATTTAATACTACCTGCATTTGATTTTCAACTAGTGATGTTGTAAGTTTCCAAACATTGAAACATGCCAAGGTTATGAAGAACTCAAAATTAATTTATTATAATTTTAAATTTTTGTTTTCTTTGACAGTAATCTTTAATATAAAATAAAAAGGATTATAGCATTAAAAAATTAAGGTCTCATCAAAAGAATGTCACCAGTACACACTATCTATAGGAATTAACTTATCTTGGAACATGTAACTAATTGACCTGTATAACTCACACTAATCACTACAAAAAATTAGTATGAACAAGAGATCTTCTATTAATTTCAGCTCTATTTATCAGTGTTGGCTATGGCACCTTGTGGACTTGTAGGTGGATACCTTTATTTCTCTCAATGTTCTTATCTGCCCACAAGTCCACACAGCATGACAACCCAGAAGACCAACATCACCAACTTCACTAATATAACCTAAAAACTCATATAATGGAGTTATGAGTCAGTGTCATGCTCACTTTGACTACCCACACTCCTCCTTTCCTACAGGACCAATGTCAACGAACTGGCTGCAACTATAGCAGCTGATGAGCCTCTGGTTACTCCTAGTGTGGTACCTCAACTTGTTGAGTCACTCTGTAAGCTCCAAACAAAGCTCAGTGACGCCAGTAACCACTGGTTTCATAATTCTAAGACTCTCAAGACACATCTGCTGCCTCTTACTAATGTTGCATTTGATAAGCAAGGCAAACGGTACTCTTTTATCTCATATTTTTCTTAATTACTTGGGTGAAAGCCATTAATGTTTGCTTCTGAACCATGGGCATACATTTACGAGTTTGTTTATCCAACAGATCTTTTTTGTGTGTGCTGGTTACATATCAATATTATTATCTATTACCTTACTTCAGTGAGCAATGTTTATAATTTTAAGTTCTCTCATTTGTTCTGAGAAGCAATCATTTGCCAATTATTTTTAGTGCAAGTTTCATCAATGTTTCATTTGCCTCTAATAGGTAACATACATATTGAATAGTATAGTGCAGCAATAAGGCTTAAGACTTACAACAGGGAGGTACATTTAAGATGGCTGTCATGGTCCACTACTGCCTCCTTCCAATCATTACCTACTTATTATTCATGCCCATCACATAAAGAATTAATCACTGGAAGCATTTCCTTCTTTTAGATACAACTTTTTTAGTTTTAGGAAAACAAAAACATTATACACGTATGTTCCTCAATAAACTGATAAAGTGAGGTTAGAGTAGTAAAGGAAAGCTGTCCCCCTACATATTTTTGAACTTGGCACTAGACGAGGGTGAGTGGCCAGCATCATTCCCCTGACATGCTTTACCACAGGGCAAGGAACCCTGGTACTGACTGGATAAGAGGCTGGGTGGGGCCCAGAGCTGATCTGGATGCAGAGACTAGAAGAAAAATCCTTTGCTCCTGCTGTGAATCAAACCCTAACCATCCAACTGATACCTAGACAGAGGTATTTGATGGAAGTTTGCATAAAAGTTATTATACTATAAATTTATTATTAAACTACAACTTAATAGATTTACTGTTCCAGTTGTCTCACTGGGAGTTATGATCGTACTTGCAAAGTATGGGATACTGACTCTGGCAAAGAACTCTGCACCTTAAAGGGTCACAAAAATGTAGTTTATGCTGTAACATTCAACAGCCCATTTGAGTAAGTACAAAATACAGGGTGAAATTGATTTGACTTTTAAAGTAATAAAGTGTGTGTATGTGGAGGAAGACTCTTACAGCTACAAACTATACTTGATTCATGTTTCTTACTTCCTGAAAAGTTACAAACCAAACACACAAGAAAATAAATGGAGTGACAATTACTTATGAGAAAAGAATGGTACTTAACCGCAAATAGACTTATTATACTAAATATCTGGTAGCATTAAAAGAACACAACATAGAAACAAAAATTTAATCAAAGAAAAATTTAAAAGCAAATTATACAAATGACTGCAACTAAAATGAGCAAACTAAATTGTCCATGTAATTACAGATATAATGAATTATTTCTAGATTAAAATTAAGAATAATTTATAAGAATGTTACAATTAAAGTGTATATGAAATGGATAAATAGGAATTTCTATGCTTTGGTATGCTATAACCAAAGTTCAGGGATTTTTTTTTAATGACATTTCTAACCTTATTCTATCTGATATGTTTTCCATTTTAAATTAATCTGCAAGCCTCACACATCTCTACATATGGTCTGTTTTCCTATTCTAACCATAATTAATAAATGTTATACTGATATTTTCACAAAACAGAGGTTTCAGTTATTTTAAAATGATATCCCCATAGCGACAAGATACTGACAGGCTCCTTCGATAAGACTGCTTGCCTGTGGTCTGCGGAGACTGGCGAATGTTACAGCACATTGTGGGGCCACACTGCAGAGGTGGTCGCAGTCCAGTTCAATCTCCAGTGTCATCTGGTGGGCACCAGTTCCATGGATTCAACTGCCAAACTTTTTAATATTGCTACAGGTTCGTGTCTTATAACAATTTTTCTTTTTTAGAAGTTAACGCTACTGAATATAATAGTACGATACATATTTAACAGGACAAGAAGTAGCAACATTACATGGGCATACAGGAGAAGTAATTGCACTCAAGTTCTCTGATGATGGCAATCAGATAATCACCGGTTCATTTGATCATTCTATCGGCGTCTGGGACACCCGCACAGCAAAGTAAGACACGCGACTTATTCTAACCTTAAATACCTGTTCAGGTTTATGTTTGCCCACAAATGGGATTTAAACATAACACAATTAAACAATGAGGTTGAAATCAGACCAGATATTCCTAAATTATGATTAAACGTAGACATATTTTACTCTATATATTTTAATATGCAGTGCATCAGATCTATATAATTTGCATTCTTGTATTTTTTCAGAAGAGTAGGTATTCTTAATGGTCACTTACAAGAAATAAGCAACTGCTTGTTTAACCATGACGGCAGCCTTATAGCTAGCAGTTCAATGGACAAAACGGCGAAAGTGTGGGATCAACGTACATTCTCCAGTTTGGCTACCATTACGGGACATAACGACGAGGTTGGTAAGAAACGAACCTAAAGATTAAAAATACAAAACTATAACCTAACCTTTAGTACTACAAATACACTACACTGGTGATCATTTGTTGTTGAGAGATTTTGGCCCTTATTACATAATATCTATGACCGTGTGTTTACTACCTGTCATTAGCGATAGGCAATTTACTAGATTATATTATATTTGTGTACAGGTTCTAGATATTGCATTTGATTATAAGGGTCATCAGCTAGCAACAGCAAGTACTGACGCTACTGCATGCATATGGGATGTTCACTCAGACTTCAAGCTGTTGGCTAAAATGAAGGGTCACAAGGAGGAGGTTTCAAAGGTAATATCATTATTCCTTCTCTTATTCCAGGCACAAGAACCAAACATTTTTCATTTTATTAACATCTTGTTTACACTCTGTAAAGCGGGTTAATTTAGTCAGTAAAGTGATTAGGTGTGGTTAGACAACCAGGGTTTGATTTCTGGCAGCAGCAAGCATTAAGCTACATGTCTGGATGGCATGGTGCTTAATATACTTTAATCAGCAGTGAATCAGGGATTATACAGAGCCCAGCTGACTGTGTCTCAATAGAATACCACTAAACCATCAACCAAGAAGTTAAAGTCTAGCAGCGTTGTAGTGCAGGAGTCTCCCGTTCTTGTAAAATAAAAATTAAACTCCTGGGAGAACTTTACGTTTGTAGCATGGTCCTTGCATACAGGGGCAACTATACCTTTTCCTTTGTTTAAATTATTATATTTTAAAAGCTGTTAAAGATGAAAGCGACAGGTATGTTTCAGTCCTGCGGGAGCTCGGCTTCTGACTGCATCGCTAGACAGAACAGCTCGTCTGTGGAATGCAGACACTGGGAACTGTATCCAGATACTCGATGGACATACAGATGATGTATTTTCATGTGCATTTAGTTACAATGGAGATATTATCATCACAGCTTCCAAGGATAACACGTGCAAAATATGGAGATGAGCCGTGCAAGGTTCACCCAGATCTCTGACAGCAAAAATTACCGCAGTTATGCTCCACAGATCACAATATTGGGTCATTTACTGCAATAAATCTGTTAAAGACAAATGTTAACTTATGACATTGTATTCCAATCAATGTAAAATAATTTATCAATCATACTGTAATATATGTCAGAAATGAAAAATTCAAATACGTTTTCTTTATCTACTTTATCCAACTTTGGTGACCTGATGCTCTGCTGTAGCAAAAATCTCAGGTTTGATACAAATTTGGAAGCAGTACCAATTTTTCACCTTCCAAATTTTAACTTTCACTTAAGCCATGTGGTTCTGAGTCCACACCCATCATTCGTATCTTTTTAGTAGTGAATATGACATGTCAGAAATAGATTAATTTGCCTTACTGGATGGGAAGAGGTCAAGGTCAATTAAAATATAAATGAAGGAATGTGCATTGAACAAACATCTCAGACCATCACTGTCAGGCTTACAGAGACTGTGATGGATCTTGGAAACAAAATATTAAGAGGCGTGAGGGGTATGGTACAGTCATGGCCACAGAAAAGTTGATATCACAGACTGTATTTTTAAAAAAATGAGAAAACTTGTCATTTTCTTGTAACACACATGAAACACAGACCCAAAGGAAGTAACAGACATAAATCCCTTCATTTTTTCATTAAGAAAATTATCTAAAATGAAAGACAATACATCGAACTTGTGAATGTTTTAAATGTATCGATAACAACTGACGAGCCTTGTGAAACTGGTATAATTTTCCATGAAATGTTTTCTGTGGAATGTCAATGGCGCAAATCCCTGAAGTAACAACTGGAAACCAGTCCTTACTACGCTAGTTACGTCAAAGTGGCTTACAGTGCACAGCAACGCAGACTACAAACTATGAGAGAGTCCTGTAATCAAAATTCATAATGTTGTAGCTTAATGTTGGAAAACATTCCCCCTTGTCTGATTTATTTAATTTTTTCCATTTGCATTTAACAACAAAATGTCATGATAATGCATCAGGAATAAACTGCCAGCAGTGCAGCCAACTGTTATCTGCAGCTGATATCACAATGTTTTCCTGGTACCACATGTGACTCGTTACACGACAGTTTACCCCATCACTTTGTTTTATGTGACCATCATGAACGAAAACCGTCTTAAACTTTTCAGTGCACGATACATTATATACGTACACATTCCCATCAAATCCAGACGATGAAACTTGCGTCTCGTCATCAGGAGAAAAGTTGATAACTGGTACTTGGCTATAAAAATCTCCTGTATGAGACTGAATATCAATTACTTTTCCAATGTTTGATTCACACACAGCAACGCTAGTGTTCCTGAGGTCATATATTACGAGATCTCCCATGGTTGATGCTATGCCAAGTTTTGGGTTATTGACTCCACCATGTGCAGAAGATAAGCTTTTCTTATTGCAGTAAGTAGTTTTCACGGTCCAAAGTTTTCTTCCTACTCTGCTTTCATTAAAGTTCTGTGTGGCTAAAATAAAATAAAAACCCTATCAAAATGATAGTCAACATATTCACTATCATATTCGAAGTGGTACAGTGCAGTCATTTCCAAACTCTTTTAGTCTGAGGCTAAGCAGTGGGGAATTAAAGCCTGCTTCCAAACAACAAATATATTTTAATAAAAATGTCAGTAATTGCCTTTTTCCATAACACAAATAATAACCTATTTTAGAATAGTTAATTTCCTTACCGGGTGAGAAGTTTCCGCATGTCTTACTGGCACGAACGTCATGTAGGAAAATACTCCCACTGTTTCTATCACAGAGAGCTGCTAGATTCTCAGAGACAAAAGAAGGTTCTAATCCACACTCAGTTTCATTTGTAGAATCAATTGATAATTTATAGAGAATTGCATTCACTGCTAGATCTATTACAACAAAATCCCTTTGAGTTGTTGCTGTCAATAGAACAAAGTCTTGATTATTTAGTGCCATAAGTGGTGTAACAAATTCACAAGTCACGCTGCCAAATCTTGTAATAAGATCTGAAATGATGAAAAATTACATTATCTTTAGCTGTTACTGACTTTGCTAGAAAATAACTTATTTAATGTCAATACCAGGTAGCAAAAAAATAATAAATAAATAAATGAGTGGATTTGAAACTCATAGAAGTTGTGTAGACATAATTAAATCTTTTTGTACACCAACTTAAGTCATATTCAACATAACTTGTACAAGTTTCATTCAAATCTGTTTACTAAAAAAAATTTTTTTTTCCTTCACCTGGTGCATGTGTGTGTACTCTGACACATCTGGAAGGATCGATTAATGCCACAAACAAAGCAGCTACTCTTCCAGTTAAGTGTCTAAATATCAACCATCTGCTTACAAAGCAGGAATTATATGAACTATACCGTAACATTTAATGCTTATTTATTATAAATCTCTTAAATTACATTGACTAAATGTTACATATGCATCTTAAACTTATTTAATATATTTCTTGTTTCTTACCTGAGTTTGCTGAACCTAAATTATATATTGCAACACCAGTTTGATCTTTTTCTGATACAATAATTCTTCTCTGATTCCATAAAACTTTCATCTGTAAATTGTTAACAATTTACATATTTAAAAGACAAAAATACATCCTTGTAAACCATGCAATACAACACTAAATGCAACCAACAAACAAAACAGTCACAGCCAAAATGATTCTGTATTACTGTCATACTTCACCTGCACTACTGGTGCAACTGTGAAGCCTCCACTTTTCAGTTTTAAGTCACTGTTCTTTACAAGCCCCTCATGACTGGGGGCCACAGTCAGCTTCTCTGGTAAGGACAGTTCAAGGACCTCATGTTTCCCAGATTTGTGTTTACCCACCACACAAATGGTACTAGGATCTGACAACTCAATTTGCTGAATAATATTCTCAAAATCAAACATCCGCAATTGTTTGTATCTGCAATAAAAGCAGTGAAATATGTGGTAAAGTCAACAGTTTGCAAACTATTTCAGCAACTGATGAATGATACTGTGTTTCTGCCAAGTCTTTGTGTCTGAACATTATGTATATAATAGTTCTTCTAGCATGCACATCCAGTCAGTACACAATAGACTATGAAACGCACCAGTATTTCACTTTGCCAAATTCTTTTAATTTCGGAAATTGGTACACTACTGATTTACACTTCGCATACAATCAGTGGCGTAATTCTGGGGAAACCAAGTGGCTCCAGAATGCCAGTAGTAGGGCGGATTTTGAATTTAACAATGAACTACAAATATCAAAACACCTGTAGCGAAATCAAATGCTTTGTCTGGAAGGGGAAACCTATGCTCAATGAGGTCACAGTATTTATTGTCTAATACGAAATAATTTTGAGGTTAAGTATTTACGAAACAACAGGCCCGTACTTCACAAGTCTCTATCACACCATATTACGAAGTTTACCTCTTGATAGAATCATAAAACCATTCGTCTTCATCTTCATCGTCAGAATCCTTCAAAAACATATTATACATTCCGATATTGAATAAACGCTCAGTAAATGTAATTTGATAATGTTGGCAACGTCAGTATTGAATATACAGTCTTTGCAATTGCATCAGAGACTCAATGATGAATTTTTGTTTACTTAATTGAAATTATTGCAGTTCTTTGGGCAGCGTGAAAACGACATAACAATATTGGAGTGTAAATTGGTTGGTTTCCAGCAGACCCATATAAGGTGTTAACGTTTCGAGTATAATAAGAATGAGTTTCATTCACGGGAGGTCCCTTCATATCTCCGAATTCTTCAATATATTCTCTCCTTTATGCCATACAAAATTTTTGTCATTGAATGCATATACGTCCATAATGCATAAAACAATTCACTTTCAAAAAGAAAAATGTGTTCAATACTTACACAACTCATGAACCAAACCTCCATTTAAACATGAAACCGCATGTCTTAAATATGATGATTTGTTGTAAGGCCAAAATTATGACTTACTATTGAACACAGTAACAATACTGTTGCATATTTCCTGGAATCGATTTCTTATAATAGTGCTGCAATTTAGGGCAGAACAATAAAAAGCATGGTAATAAACCCCAGTTAATCATCTTTGTTTATAAATGTTATTAGATGAATACTACTTTGTTACATAAACAATTCGATAAATTATCTTTATTATCAAATACATGTGCAAGACCTTACATGAACTTGGGAGAGCACTAAAATTTTAAACTAAAAATAGTTTCTTTCTCTATAAAAACTGAAATATGTACATTTCCAAGACAGTACACTGCATTCCATTCCATTCATGTAGTATCCTGAGCAGATAACCTGAGATAAATGAACACTATGTGGGAAAACAAAGTAAAAACTGTGGTTAAACTCCTTCATTCTAAGGTAGATGTTTGTATAAGATTCTCATACTTCAAATGACAAAAGACAGAGAGAATATATGGTTTAACCCCTTCCAGTCCAACAATAAAGTGGAGTCAACAACTTATCTTATTCCAGTAGGCACAATGTAGAGTTCAACTTGAGATGCAATTTCACACTGATTCTTTTATTTTACAAGAAATATCCTGCTGTCACTCAGTGGTCATATCTGAAATCTGCCGTGATAGCAAGAACTTGTATTTGTTTAAGGAAATCGCCTCAAAATGAACTGCATATGAGAATCCAAAGAAAGACCACATTAGTTTACATGCTGGCAGGCAGCTTCCTTCTCTTGTAAATCTGCATTATGGTCTAGGATATGACGGCTAAACAACTGAAAGATGTGGATGGCAAATTAGGTCACCAAATTTTTCCGAGATGTCGAGTGATAATTTCTGCAAAATTTGTTTGGATCAGACTAGTATTCTCCCACAAACACTCAAATATGTACACACATACACAATGGACTGGAAAGCATTAACACGAATTTAGAACTCTGGAATTCTCCAGATCTCAAAAGTCTAAATTGAGGTAAAGGTAATGGCTTAGATCTGTGCACAAATAAATATGTACCCATAACACGAAAGTGACATAAGAAATATTGCTAAAAGATTAAGTAAAATACCACATACTGAGCACTACTGATGCATGGTGCCATATTTTAACCTTTATCAACCGTGTGTCATGTCACGAGTGTGGTCCATCTGGCCACGCACCATTCTATGCAAACTACTAAACCGTTAACCCCAGAGCGTGGCGGACAGCCCTGCAGTACAGAGATTTAAATCTCCTATTCCTGTACGATAAACGTTAAAGTATACGTTTTAGTGCTGCATAATGCTCTTCTGAATCAATATTATATGTAATGGGGATGGAGAAACTTTTGTATTGATGAAAAATTTAATTTATCATAGGTTACCTGTTTCCACATAAATTAACACTAACATACAAATTTTGTGACTATGTCCGACAGAAATGCTCGACGATCGCAGTCCTACAAAACTGATGTGCAACTGTTCATGCTTTTAGCAATAAACAATTTGCCTTAAAAAAAATGCCAGTACCAGTTCAAATAGTCATTATATGTTTACCAACTTTAACAACTAAATGTAGCACTAAGTTAACTCTGTCACCCCATTATTACTTGGAGGATGATGATTATTAATGGCACTGTGACTACTGCTGGCTGATATCGTAGTCTGCAGAAAGTCTTCCAACATACCAGCCAAACAATGACGCTTGAATCTTAAAGATTCGTGAATGATTTCTTTGAGCAACGTTACTCGCACATCCAAACCGCCTTTAATGTTCTGAAGATGAGTAAACAAAGGAGCAAAATCTGAAAAGAAAAGTATAAAATTAATGTTCATATCACTGTATACCCATTTGTTGTGTTTAATTTGAATTAATTTTCATATTTAATGATACAAAATCTGAAAAAAGGTTTGTTCTCAAAGATTTGTCCCAAATAAACAGGGGTCCGCAGTGGCCGCGCGGTCTGAGGCGTGGGCCTTGTGCCGCTTGGTCGCTGGGACCGTGGGTTCGAATCCCACTCAAGCCATGGATGTTTGTCCGCATCTTTCTGCGTTGTGCTGTCCTGTGTACAGGTAGAGGCCTTGCGACGGGCCGATCCCTCGTCCAAGGAGTCCTACCAAAATGTCTATAGATCAAGCCTACGAAAAAGTTGGGTCCTGCAGTGCTCAGGCACTTGAAGAACGGGTCGTTACCAGTATCCCAAATAAACAGCTGCCCCAATTAACTGGAATCTACTGTATCTAACGAACCAACTGACCATCAAAACGATCATACAGACACTGAAGTAAAGTGGAGGTTTTGAATACAGTAAAGTAACAATTCAAGGATACTCATAATTTAGGTTTACAAACTTCTCCCATTGAGATTTTTCAAATGCAACTATTTTTTGGAACCCTGAATTTTTAATTAATTGCAAACTTCCCTCTAAACCATACTTCATTTTTGTGTGAGTACATAAAATCAATTGCTGTTATGCGTTTTCAGATAAAACAAATGCAACGCATACTTACT